GATATAACGAAACATGTGATGCAATATAGTTGCCTTGCATACATGTGATTATACTTCTGCTTAATTTCTAGTATAATTTTCTTTGGAGTGTAGATATATGTGTACTAATTAGACACTGAACGAGTACTTGCAGTGTGAAAGCCACCATTGAGAGGTACAAAAAGGCCAACAGTGACACATCCAACTCTGGCACAGTTGCAGAAGTCAATGCCCAGGTAACATCATGTCATTCTTTCACTCTACAACAATTGCTTGAATTGACATCCAAGATGTGATCTATAAAGTAAACACCTTCTACTAGTCCTTTTCTGCTCAGTTACTACATACGGAGTACTAGTACTACTTACAGTAGATTGCTAGACTTTGCTCCTGAACCTGAACCTCAAATCCCTATGCTACTGGCTGGGGCGCCCTTCCCTGTTTTTTGCGGATGTATTACTATTTTTTGTTTGCCTGAAAAACCAAGGAGCTACTACCTAGTACAAAAATATCTGAATCTGTCATAGAAACACCATACCAGACAACCATATTTCAGGCGGATGCATGTCATCAATCATTCCTGGCAATCTTATTTCCTTATATTAAATAAGTACTCGTATGTTTTGAGTGATTCATTGCTTCAAGCTAGGCAGTAAGTATATGGCAAGCCCTTCAATTATATACAGTGATTTAATTGTTGCTTCAAGTGTGTTTTTTATAAGCTGCAAGCCATCCAGCAACATGTTGGAATTTATTTGTACAAGTTAACTAAATGGACAAGAAACATCATAACCAGAAGTTGAACTATCATCCACTGTTATGATTCCTTTTTGAGCACTGTGGTGATTCAGAAGCAACAAATCATAACAATTAGAGTCGGCCGCTCCAGCCAAGCTCCTTACAGATTCTCTTTTTAAAGAACCATCCTTACAACACAGTTACGGGCTACGTATTTCTAGTAATTTTTATGAAGAAACACTTACCTTGCAGCCATCTAATATGCAATTCTAATAGTATGTGATGCCTGATTTTTTTAGTTGTACATGCCATTCCTACATGAATTCCTTTTCTTATGTACCAACTCCCTAATCATGTTTTGTGTTTTCAGTTTGCTATGTTAGGAGAACCTGGTGTGCTATATGGAGAAGCAAAGCAACAGCCCACAACCCGACTTGTGACTCCAGATAAAGGCACCACGACGCACCATGATTATCCCTTGGAAGGTCAGCTCCTGGACAGTAACTTCCTCTCAATTTGTGCTCCGCTTGATATCAGTTCCTTGTATGGCTACTGCATTGATGCAAGTTGTAATGTGCAGGGCTTCCGAGTTTGCACCCCGCCATCTGGACGGAACATGGAGGGGGCATCATCCACACCGTGGAGTTGGTTGAGCCTTGAGTGCGACCTGGAGAAGCAGGGCATCGTCTGGGGTCATCTCTTGCTTGTGATGTGGTAAGAAATGAGCACCACTCTTTGTCATGCATGTATCTAAATGGCAGAAATGTCGAATACATGTTTGCTCTCAGCTGGGATACTTGGTTGTACTTAGTTATGTGATTTATTCATGTTCGTGCTGCTTGTTAAGCGATTATCTGTATGCCATTGCTACCCCGTTGCGTATCTCTCTTTTCTTATGTGCTGCATTGTAGATATGCTTGATGGAGTGAATGCTTTCAGCTCTCGTTGTGTCAAACCTTTACTATGTACCATGCTTAGTGTTCACTGTACTGAGGCATTGGCCATCGGAATTTCGGCGTGTATGCATAATTTTAGTTCTAGATGTGTCCAATGCAAACATTACTATCAACTGTTAAATTGATTCTAAAATTTCTCATTAACTTCATTTCAGATGATGATTGGATTTGGTACCAATTTATTGTTGGTCTGCATGTGCTATGTACCTTGCTTTGATTTTATGTAGCAACTGCCTTAGTACCTTTTCTGTCATGTGGTGTCCACGGATTGAAATGTTGGCTGTTATATATTGATTGTAGTATCGAAAATGCCTCAAACCTGAAATACTTAAAATAGATTGTCGTTTCTTTCTTGTTAGTTTTGATACCCATATACCTGCCCTATATTAGCTCTTTCCTTTTGTGCATGTTAATTCAGTGTTTGTGTTGATTTGATGCCAATGTTGAGAAACAAGATTTTGATGGATGGGTTTATGTGTTCTGCTAGTATATATGCACGCTAGTATATATGAACACGGATTGTCCTTCATTATTTTGTATCTACTGTTAGATATATGCTGTTAGATTTGCTTTTATTTTGTACCTAAACATTTTGTTCTATAACATGCAGATGCTGGCGTTTCATGTTTCGTTGCGAGCATCAAGACGAAGAGGTCAGAAGAAGCATAGTTCAAGCTCATTGGAGCTAGTTCAAGGAGTAATGAAGCCCTTCATGCTGATCGTATTGGAACAAATTGAAGCACGAACTTGGCTCATGTGACATATTGTACACCCGTAGAGCTTGTTATACTGTGATGGCATTTGTATGTCTGTTGATGTAACAGATTGTTGCTTCTTGTTATGAAGTATTACACATGTTTTCTGTCTATTTTGATTCAAATATTGGCTGTTTAATTATTGGCATATTGAAATCTGAGGAACATGACCATGACAACAAGGACCCACAAACCAGAATCAGACATTTGGGACCCACTTATCAGAACATGACAATTGGGACCCATTTGAAAAAACAAAAAAGGGCCACAACCCAAAAATAAGAAGGCCGAATTATAGGGCATGGCCCATGTAGCTTACCCAAATTGAAAGAAAAAGATGACAACAAATGGGCCGAATTAATGGGCTTGGCCCATGTAGAACACCTAATTGGACTGGGCTGAATCTTACCTACGACCAATTCAATTGGTCATAATTTTGCCACATCAGCTTGCCATGTTGGATCTGATGTGGCCTGGGCAGACAACTAGTGACTAAAACAAAAGGTCATGGGTTCAACAACTTTTTGTTTTGGTCGTAAATGTCTACGGCCTTATCCTGAAGAAGGTCGTTAATTTCAGTTTACGACTGCCAACTTTTGACCTTCTGTTTTTTGTCACAAAAAGGTCACAAATGAAAAACAATGACCATTCAGTGACCAATAGTCAAGGTCACAAGTTGACATATTTCTTGTAGTGAACTCTGATCATCAACCTTGGGAGCCCCCACACGAGATCTGCCAGTTTTAGCACCGACAAGGCGGCTATGTCCGTCTACATTGCCCTCCGCCGCTCCTGGAAGAATTGCCCCCGACCAACAAAGGGATCGGCCTGGCGCGAGTCCATTGCGTTGGCGCAACAGGTGCTCAGATTCACCTACGTTGGAGCATCGCAGTCCGATAGGCTCTCCATCTTCGGCCCCCGGCATATGAGTGCTACATTGACCGATGTGCCCGCCGTGGGAAGGAGATGATTAGGGTGGCCGAGGTGCGCCTCGCTACGGATGTGGCGGTGACGGCGGCGCGTCCTGCCGCAGAGGAAGAAGCGGTCTGTGCCCGCATCCTAAAGAAGCGGCAAGGACGAAGACACGCGGCCTCGCCCAAGAACAAAATCGGGCAGTTCGTGCCATGCCCAAACTGACCCCAAAGAGGAGAAGGAGGAGAGCGACCGTTCAGAAAGCTCCGGCGAAGAGCAGATCTGGTTTGATCTATTTTATTTTTTCGAGCGCTACTTCTGCGAGAAACATGACAAGGGTGCTGGGAAGGGCAAGGGCAAGGCCAGCCATGGATGCTCCATAGTAGTATATAGGTAAAACGTACCAAATTTTGGTAGTCCAATGGCATGTGTTGTTGTAGTAGCCAGACGATTTGTGTTGTATCGTTTACATTGCATGTGTTTGTATGTATTTGAGGTTTGCCAGGTGAGATGTCCGGTTATGCGAAGAAAACTTTGAAATCTGATTGGTCACTGTTTGCGGACGCGTCCGCGGGCGTTTGAGAGACCCGATTTGATGTCCTTGGCTGTAGATGCTCTAATGATACTCCCAAATATGAATTGGACTGCAAAATAACAGTGAAAGTTTTTCGCCAATAATCCAATTAAATGGTTCTGGGATGCTGCTCTCTTTTGCATGTGCTGCTCTAGTCATAAGGTGAAGCATTGAAGTCCCAGCTATCCACTCATCCCAAACCTGTATATATATTGACAGAACCATCCAAATGAAATGGCCGCAAGGGGACACAAAAGTGAGACATTATCTGGGTGAGGAGCAGCACAGAGCTGCATGACGTGTCAAAATAGTAGCAAGATGTCTATAGAAATCTAGCTTGATAGGAATGAGGTGCAGCAGGAATTCGCATGGAACCTGAAGAAGAAGTGCTGGTACATCAGTCTAGCAAAAGTCTACTTGAATCTTATTCGTACCACCAAGATGAAGTCTACCCCTTTGTATACGCAAGGCAAGATCATGTGGGTACACACTGTGAACATGTATAAGGTGTCGTAACCGGACTGCGTGCCGGAGTAGGAAAAAATTGCAGCTAAAAGTAAGTGCAAGTGTATAATATCCAAGTAGAATTGTTTTCTTGACAGAAGCTACTATTTTCCGCAACTTTTGCATTCTTTCGAAAAAAAACCCTAGACTAGACTCGGTTCTAGTGCAAGCACCGGCTTCAATGTATCGTTGACCCATAAGCTCACCCCTACCATGCCATCGCCACCTTATTCTAGTCGACTGCTCCGCTGCATGCTCCCTCTACCTCCTCTGTTACCTGACACACCACTTTATTCACATCGCCCGAGATGGCCCGAGATCAGCACGGACCACAACACGTACAGTACTTCAGAGCCAGGTAGCGCGTCCTTGCCTTGCCCTCCGCCCCAAGTTTTCCCTCTCAAAGTCGGTTGTCTTCCTTCCTAAGCACACCACACATTCTTCCATATAAATTCAACGAACCGGCCACCGCCGTTCCCTGTGTCAATACTCTCTTCTATCACTCGGAGATTCATCACTCTTGTCTTGTGTCCTTGCCAAGCCGAGCAAGTCAACCGGGGCACCATCTCACTGGCCAAGCCAATGGAGGTATGGCTGCCGTATCAAGAGCTGTTCATGCCGATGTTGTTCGCCGTTGCGTTCGTTTGACTTGCCATGGCTGAGGTAAGTTGATGTATGTGTTTTTCGCAGGATGCGAGTGGGTACCGGGGGATACCGGCGTTCGGGGAATGGAACTACGGCGACGGCGACGACTGGCCCGTGCTCGCCCAGCACTTCGAGTCTGAGATGCACACCCAGCTCCCCGTACACAAACCCTGCAAGGTACGGACTAGTAGAACTAGCCAGAAATTACTTCCGTTTTGTGCCAAGTTTAGATGTAAGATGGAATCAGGGCCGGTCCTGAGATTTTGAGGGCCCGGGGCAAGACAGTGGAAAGGGACCCTAAAACCACATTTTTCTCTATTTCAATTCAACTAAATACTTGATGCACTATAATTGGTTTTGCCTTGTCATGTCAACTATGCAACAAATAAAAGTCATAAACATTCACAAAAAATTTGGTCGCTTTTTTCAACCCGAACTTATATTTTTCTATTCGGTTCGTGCCTACTCCAGTATTATGATCCTATATTTTCTCACAAAAGGCATTCCTCAGAATTTCTAGTAGTAGTACTTGTATTAGTTCTAGAAACATGTCAATATCTCCTTTCCGAAACTCAATCAACGCATATGCAAGGCTATTTTCTTTACTCATTACCGGTTGCATACTTTCTAGATAACATCTTGCTAATTAATTAGCGCACAAACAAGAAATAAAATGAAAAATTGCTAACAAAGGGACCCTAAAACCACATTTTTTTTACCCGCAAAAAAAAAGAAACAAGAAGTAAAAAACACAGTTAATAAAATGAAAAATTGCTAACAAAGGCTTGAAACAAGGTAGGTACCAGGATGGCAGGAAATTAAAAATTGCAAGATTTGGCTTCTGCTTACTAGTCACGAACAAAAATCCAAGCTCCTCCTTTCTAATCCCAAACAACTCAAGAGATCGGAGCGTGAGAAAGAGATATGTACAGGGATGATCTTCATGAAACCAACGAACGATCTATAAAGACTATAGAAAAAGACGGATTTGCATTGAAAAGGAGGTTGATTGAAATCTGAAAATTTGTACTCGGAGTACCTTCTTCCACTAATCACGCACAACAGCAGAAAAATCACGAATAGAAGGCACGGGTGGGGCTGATTCGTTTCCAATGGAAAAAGCCCGGTAGAAGCAGAAGATCGCGCCCGTGCGCAAGCCAAGAAAATAGCGATCTGTTACCTTTTCGAATTCAATTAACCTTATCTTGAAATTCATTTGCATCTTTGGCCACTAGTAGCAGTAACCGTATTTAACCCACTTCACTAGAATCCCGTCTATATGATCCTTGCTCTGGAAGCTAAAATGGCTGGTAGGCTTGCAGCGCACGATACGCGCTCTCGTCAACCATGTCCACGCTGCGTCAACAACTCAACATTCAGCAGTCCACACTGCATTTGTGTGGGCCCCACACTGCATACACAGCACAGAGCTCTAGCTTTTGTGTGGGCCCCACACTTGATTTCCTTACAAAGACTACCATGCTCACCTCTATATGTCCTATCCAAGTGGCGTGTGTTTCTGCATGCAACGGGTGCACTGCATCTACGTCCTTCCCTTTCTCTGTATCCTCTGTTTTGGCTTTTCATGATCGATGGCGTCGTGACGGCGTTGTATGTACGCACTACGCAGAGAGCGAGCGCAGGTCGCAGGAGGCGCGTCCCTGCGTTCGGCGAGTGGAACAACCACAGCGATGGCGACGAAGGTGGCTGGACGGCGGCCGTCGTCAACCAGTGCTTCGAGCCTGTCACAGCACAAAAATCACTCAAGCAGGAATTCATTGGTTACGATAGTGGCGTCGTCGTCATGGGGAAGCAGCAGCACAAGGTGACGAGGCAAACCTGGGTGGATGACTCAGGGACCCACATGGCAATGGAACCCTTCTCCTTCACGGCGGTCAAAGCTGTTGACGATGACCTATATGAGGTCCCATCGGACATGCTCTGCGCCAAGCCACTACGGGTATGTAATTAATTTTCTGGTTAATATGATTGTTGCATTGCATGTTTCAGGAAGTATTGTATATAGAAAGAAATTGATTTGTTTCCAAAAAATGATTGATCGCTATATATGCCCTTCAGGATTGTAACTTTCACAACACAACTCCAATCCTACATAGACATTATTTTGCTGAAAATGATATAAAACCATGGTCCTAAACTGAAGAATTGGGAGTATGGCTTCGGTTTTGCAACAAATTAACTGAAAATACTCATTCACTAGTTTTTCTCTCTGTCAGTAAATAGCTATGTTGCACCGATACGGCGACACAGATACGGCGATACGAGTACGGTGATACGGGATACGACAATTTCTAAAAACAGCAATATGCGATACGGCGAGTATATATATATAAATAATTAATAAAATGAAATGTAACAAAAAACACACATAACAAAATGTGTGAGCTGAGATCAAAATACCACCCCATTAGTTGCCTGATGCCTTCAAGTCTCTTTTCTTCCGTGCCAGTAGGCAGTAGCAGCAACATCAGCAAGCACCAAGCACATACGGCGCACACATGCCAGCAAGCAGCCAAGCACATACGGCAAGCACACACACAGCAAGAATCAATTACCTCACTCTTGCCACGTAGGCCGGGAAGAGGTCACTCGAGGCGTCCTCGTAACTAGTTGACACTTGACAGTGCGGCCGCGACGAGCCAGTCCAGGCGGCAGCGTGCTCGTCGACGCACTCGATCCAATCATGAGGTCGAACAGAGAGCGAGAGAGTTGGGGTTAGGCGTATACGTGGGCCTCTAATGGGCTCGAGCTGAATGGCCGTGTCCTGCCGTATCCCGAGCGTGTCCCCAGCGTATTGTCATTTTTTTCTTTTTCTTTTTAATCAGAAATCATGATACGCCTGCGATACGAGTATCGCGGCCGTATCATGCGTATCCGCGTATCGGCGACGTGCGGTACGTGGATACTTCAACTTTTGACGTATCGGTGATACGTAGGTAAATAGTACTCCCTCCGATCCAAAGTAAGTTAAACCACGACAATTATTTTGGATCAGTGGGAGTAGTATGGAATAGATTTTCAGTTAACAACTAGAAATTTGCTCCACTGCTTTATGAGTTTTCTAATACCGCTAATGTTGATAGTTTTCTATATATCAACGCCTAATTATCTTGTTGCATTGCAGAAGGGTAGGATGTGGCTGAGGAGCCTGCTGATGAGGTGTTGCAGCCTCAACTGCTTAGCCTACTGAATGTCGCCAAGGGCTCACATTGGTACATGTTTTGATGGGTCAATGGATGAACTGTGGTTCCCCGTCCTTGAGAATGTAACTATGCAAGATGGTAGTAGTGGGTTGATGACTTATATATAGGTTATGTCTTTTCACTCATTTAACTTATGTATGAGCAAAACTCCCAAGCTGATCTATTTGATTTATGAAGATTAATGTACTAATGCCTGCCGTATTTGCTGAAATGAAGAAGGGAATGCGCCCATAGTATACTAGCATTGTGATATCCTCTTCATGAGCGGAAATACGGAAGTCCTTTTCATAAATGCCATCAACTCAGCTCTTTCGCACATGCCTCTCTAGTCATGGTAGGTAGACATATATACCATCTGAAACTAGCATATATACCATCCAAATGGCCATGAGGAGACACAAAAGTGACATTGTTTGAGTGAGGACCAGGATGAAGATGCATGATGTCAAAATAGTAGTAAAATGTGATCTATACGAATAAGAATAGGATGCATCACGAATTCGTATGGGGGTCATACACGACGTACCTAACATTTGTCCAATGATACTAGACTTGTAGCATTGGCCTTGCAATGTCATTTGCACACCACACAGACGGTGAGGCCACCGGGGGCTGGACGGTGGGCGTTGTCAATCAGTGCTTCGAGTCTGTCATGACGCATAAACCGACTAGCTATGACAGTGGCATCTTCACCTTGGGCCCCGGCGGGAATCAACACAAGCTGGAGAAGTAAACCGGGATGGATGAACCAGGCCCCATGTGACGATGGAACCCTTCTCCTTCACGGCAGTCAAAGCTGTTGAAGATGACCTGTATGAGGTCCCACCGGATAAGCTACTATGCATATCATTTTCTGCGTATGATGCTGCATTGCATGTTTCAGGAAGTTTAATTACTTTCCTACCTTCTATAATATCATGTTATTACAAAAAATGTATTATATATTGGTTCTAATGACATCTTATATTATGCGATGGAGGAGTACAACACAAGAAAGAAATTGATTGATCGTTGCGCATGCACTTCAGGATTATAATATCTTTTACAACAGAAGAACAACAATCCTACATAGCCAGTCTTTTTAGGTTGAGAAAAATAAAAAGTTATGGCAAGCTTCTAGCTTCAGTTTTGCAACAAATTAACTGAAAATGCATTTCACTAGTGGGTTTCTCTGTCAATAAATAATACGGTATGGAATGCCTTCTGTTAATGACCAAAAATGCCCTGCATCTGCTTTATGAGTTCACGAATCTCTACTCCTAATGGACGAATTGGTTGAATAGTCCCCCCCCACTTTCAACCGGTTTATTTTCAACCGGTTTTTCTTTGTCCCACCTCCCACCAGCCCTTCCCACCGGTTTTTCTCTTTTCTCGTCTGACGGGCAATACCCAACATATTTATGGTAATCAATCATAATTAATCCACGTATAGTAATAAATCAATCCAGGTATGGTAAGGTCATAACTCAGGAAACTTTGAATATGGTAATTATATGGTAATAAATTTAAATTACCCCAAAGGCTATCAATCCAGGTATGGTAAGGCCATAACTCGAGAAATATCAAATATGGTAATAAATTTAAATTACCACCAGGTATGGTAAGGCTATCCACGTATAGTAATAAATCATATTGTAATAAATCATAATTAATCCACGTATAGTAATAAATCAATCCAGATATGGTAAGGTCATAACTCAGGAAATTTTGAATATGGTAATTATATGGTAATAAATTTAAATTACCCCAAAAGCTATCAATCCAGGTATGGTAAGGCCATAACTCGGGAAATATCGAATATGGTAATAAATTTAAATTACCACCAGGTATGGTAAGGCTATCCACGTATAGTAATAAATCATATAGTAATAAATCATAATTAATCCACGTATAGTAATAAATCAATCCAGGTATGGTAAGGTCATAACTCAGGAAATTTTGAATATGGTAATTATATGGTAATAAATTTAAATTACCCCAAAGGCTATCAATCCAGGCCGTATGGTAAGGCCATAACTCAGGAAATTATCGAATATGGTAATAAATCAGCGATCCGTCCGCATTACTAGCTCATCCGATAAATCAGCGATCGAGTAATTAAACCGTGCAGTAATTAGTACTCCCTCCATATATGGAAGGAACCGCCGGAGTATTCCATAGATTAGCCACAGGATTTTGGCAATCTCGTCGTGGCATCTCGGATTTCGGAAATCACGCGCCCGCAGACGCCGCCGTGCCCCCCCTGCAACCACCGCTGGAGTCGGAGGCGAACGCGATCACAATCGCGACGTGTATATATATACAAGGACGTACTACATGCACAAGGGCCTGCAAGCAAACCCCAGTGCTCCTGATCACCATGCATTTCTTCCAGGTCGTCATGGCATGGATGTTCCCGTGCGCCGTGTGGGCGGCGATGGCGCCGGCCGTGGCGACGGCAGCGACCACGGACGGCGCTTCGAGCGTTGAGCAGGGCAGCTCCTCGTCGCCGGCATTCGGCCCTGGCGACGCTAAGGTGGCCTCCGACCCAGGCTCCTCCCCGGCGTCGAGGTCGTCCACCTCCTCCTCCTTGCTCGGCGCCCAAAGCAGCTCGTCGAACAGCGCGCGCCCAATGGTGAGGGAGGGCGGTGACACGGCCGCACGGAAGGGCCACGCGCTAAGGCGGTGCCTGCGCAGGTTCGCCAGAAATCTGCAGCGCGCCGGTGCTGCGGACGAGCGGCCAGACGGGCGCGGGAGACGGAAGGGCCGGGCGACGAAGCCGGACGGGAGGGTCGCCGCCGGCAAGGACGGCACCGCCCGGGCGAGGGAGGAGGCCGTCGCGAGCGCGATCGCCTACTGCAAGGAGTCGAGCCGGCAGCGCTGCAGGCCGCCGTTGGCTCCCTCGCCCAGCTTGGACGGCTGGCTCCTCGTTCGTCCGGAGGAGGAGATCGGCACCAGCGCCACGAGCGCCGTCTCGCCCTGCGAATGCGAGGCGCAGGGCACCTCGAGCGCCGCCGCCCCCCACCACGGCCACGCGGCCTGCGACGGTACGTGTTGTCAACCGATCCGTCGGTCGATCTGCTCTGCTGCACCCGTGCACGTCTAAACCGTCGTTGATCTCCTTCGTGCAGCAGAATGCGGCGGCGGCAGGCCGTCGACGGTGGAAACTCGGCGAGGTCCAGCCGGGGAGATGGAAAAGGGTGACGCTGTCGACGGGCTTGACGGGGACGTCCTTAGGATAACGAGTTACTTCGCCGCCAAATATGTGCGCGCGGTGCGCCATTGAAGAATAGCTCGGGGTCCATCTCACATGAGGCGAAGCAAACAGTTTTTCGTAATCTAGAGGACCTTGTCTTACGTACCTTCGATCTTGTATGATCTGTCCATATCAGTGTGCGAGTAGTAGTAATATGATTGTAGTAAGATCTGTCCATATCAATTGTCGATCTTATTCTTATATGATATGATGGCTTGCAGCGTTCCTAAGATCTAACGAGAATCTCCTGGAGTTAACGACACAATCGTTCGATTGTTTCTGAATCAGACTGCAATTTTGAAGCTTAATTGGCAAAGGAGTTAAGATATAGACAATCCTATTTATTCGAACTAGCTTTGCTGAATCGAAAGAAAAGAGACAACTTGGATTCAATCAAAAGAAATTAGAAGATTTTAGTACTGGCATGTATTCACCTCAATCAAAAGAAACTAGGTCACCACTATATGCTCTGTTTGTACTCTACACATGAGGAATATATTCACCTTTAACTTCTTTTTTTGCGGAAATAAGACTTTCATTCATCAACCACGGTCATTATACTCCAGATTTTACATAGAGTGTGAATTCCATCCGGTGCATGCCCATGCACGTTGAATTATCAAATGAGTATAAAGTTGGTCTTTTTTTTAACTACTACACTCCAGATTCTCGAGCATGGAGATAGGCGAGTTGTAGACCAAGAGCTGGTATAGATATAGGCGAGTTGTAGACAAGAGATGGTGGGCAGCAAGAAACGCATGCACACCAAAGAACAAATCTGAGTCACATGCCTACTTCTATTGGTTTCTACAAAGAGCGGCTAGCTTAGATCTTAGACCAGTCGGTCACTGTCGAGGTCGCCAAGGTGATCTTACAGCACCGCCGTGGGGATTTCTCATATGATTTTATGTAGGCAAGCCGCAAGCGGTGGTGGTGATTGGCTGGGTGGTGTCGCTGCCTTGGGAAGAGACGAAGTGATGGTAAAAGTAAGCAGGATCCGATGATTCTTCCGTGGGGATAGCCAAAGTCAAGATGTCGACTACAGACTCGTCGCAGACTTGCAGTGAACCTGGATGCGGCGAGCCTGATTTGTGGATCGATGGCGGGTCTTGACTTTGTTAGGCTGGGATTGGATGGTTGCGGAGGGTGGTGTGCTTGGTTGAGTTCCCATGGAAGAATGTGGCCTCCTCGTGGATCTGGTCATGCCCATCCTAGAGAACATTGTGTCCCTAGCTCCCTCGAGGAGCAAGGACAGTGCAAGCGGCAGCAGGGGGGAGGGGTAGATGTGGAGAGGGATGTCGGCGGCTGCTCGAGGTCATCATGATGAAACCCTTGAGGTCCCATCTTTATCAATGGAAGTGGAAGAGCACGAAGTCGAGATTGGATAGGAGTTTGAGTTCTTTTTGGCACAGATCGGTTCCCCACTTTAGAGATGTATTTTTTTTTGCGTGCGAGCAAACAGTGGGTTGATTCTAAAAGGGATAGGCACTTTTCAACAGAAGTGCATGACGGACCAAAAATATGACCTCATTTTATTCGTTTGATAGATATCGTATTATTTGTTGTTGTTCGTTCGGTGAAATTTCCTAATATTTGATTGTTGTGTTTCTAATTAGAGCACCCCATAATCACCCAATATGAGGGGATGATAAATGAAATATAATCAAATATTAGGAACACAACAATCAAATATTAGGAAATTTCACCGAACGAACAACAACGAATAATACGATATCTATCAAACGAATAAAA